CTGTGAATCAATCTCCATTTGCGGGATCGCCCTACGACCAGTCTTTCTAGGGGTCGAATGTCTGGATTGGCATCAGTTCTTCCTCCTGTAGAGGCTGTTGTCCACGAAGTTTTTAGTTATTTATACATACAGCAGAAAGGGATTTTTTTTTTTTTAAACAAGGCACTACTCACCTACTCAGGTCTGTTTTTCAAAGTTTCAGGCAACACGAAGCTCTTTGGTAGTTCACATGGCTGCTCTGAAACTTAACCCATCTCTTTTTAAAACGAAGCGCTCAAGGTGAGGGCTGGGGGAACCTGGGGGCGGGGACGGATAGCCCTCTCCCCTCCCCCAGGCCAAGACAGAAAGTTTTCCGCTAAAGTTAATTTTCAGAGAAAGGCAAAAGCAGTTTCTGATAGGCTTTTAGGGTGGGAGGGGTAGAAAATTTAGGCAGAGCCCGAGGTTCAGTAAGCTGATAAATTTGCTTCTCATCTCCCTCCGGCTATCCCAGCCTCGCGGTGGAGATCTGAAACAAAATCTAGGTATCTTTCCGGGGCAAAAAAGTAGATACATGGGAACAAGAAAATTGTACTGGGTTAGAAACACCAAAGTGTGGGAATGGAGGGGATGTGAGAAGTTGTTTCCCAGGATGAAGGTTTGCAAGTTCCGTGAGCGTTTAGATGGATCACCGCAGGTTTCTACCCCCGCGCCCGCGAGAGAAAGGTGTGTCTGCCATCCTGTGTTTGCCAAGCCTGGGAAACTTGAACCGCTCCTGAAAATCTTGACATTTTATCCTTCTGCAGCCCTCACCGGTCAAGCGGTCGGGGTCGACCGACACTGCTCAGGTCAGGTCAAGGGCTGGCTGCTCTCGGCGCGCGCTCCGAAACGCGGCGCGGACTCTGGAAAGGTGGAGGCGGCGAGAAGGGCTGGCATTGCATCCTCGCGGGTGGGGAGTGCGAGACCACCTCTGCCCCAGCCGGCTGGGCGAATGGGGCGCGCGCAGCCCCATAACGCCGAGCGTGGATAAAATATGCTAGGATAGAGCTTCTCGGGCTCATCAAGGCTGCGGGAGCCTCCCCGAGCCATCATCCTTTGTAATTGCAACCGTCAATCAACACTTTAAGTCAGAAGCGGGAAGGGCGAGCCCTGGAGACCAGTCCTGTCGGAAAGGAGGCGGAGTAGAGAAGGTGGGAGGAAAGGAAAGAAGTTTGCCAGAAGTTGGTAGAAGGAGCGCTAAAAAAAAAAAAAAAAAAAGCAAATGCTCCCAGTGGCTAAAGCCACAGCTGTCCTCCTCACCCCAACCCTCTATCCCCAGCCTCCCAGGTCCCAGATTCTGGTCTCCGACCTCTGCCATCAGTTAAATTTCCCACTGGCTGTAAGGCAGAAGTGGATTCCTAAGTGTGCTTCCACTAAGAGAGTGGGGATTGGTGAGATGTCCCCAGCGGCTATGAGATGTATCTGCTTGACTGCAGTTGGCGTATTTGTGGGTCAGTCTAGACCACCTCCAGCATCAGCATTTAGACCACACAAGCCCTGTTCACCTACTTCCATCGCTGCCTTCTCTTCCCACCGTTACTTGGCTCTCCTCACATTTTGGCCTTAAGAACCTGGAACCATCCCCAGGTAATCTATCTTTAGACACCGTGAGCTTGGTTGGATTCCTTCTCCTCTAGAATTCCATTCCGGGGGACGCCCAGACCAACCCAAGCTCACCCCTTCAGTGGAGGCCCCTGTCCAGAGGAATTGTAGGACCAAGGAACAGAATAAATGTCATAACCAAGATGGTTCCGAGAGCTGAGCAGCGGTGCACTTGGAAGGCAGTAATGAGCCTAGTGTGTCCAAGCCTGATTACAGTTGTCCCTGGCTCTGAATCTGGCATCCCCCTTAAACCCTTTGTAGAGCAATCCTAAGAACCTTGAGTACCTAGGAACCAGTAGAGGATTCCACATCTCCTCCTCTGCAGGCGGGATTTCCCCATCTGTTGAGGGGATCTGGAATAGAGCCCGTCCTAGGGAGTCCTGGGCTTTGGAGATCCTTTGGTTCTTAGGAAAGGCAGGGTTTCTCTGAGACTTCCTGATCTTTCGGTCCCACTCTGGTTCGATGCTAACTAAGCTGAGGTGTTGGCCTGAACTACACCATAAAAGCAGGACAGAGAGCCCTGTCCCTTTCCTCCATGCTATAAATTCATCCATGGGACTTTATAGATTTTTAAAACCTCATCCAGAGCCGTTATTTCCCCCCCCCCACTTTGTGAGAACCTTTCTTTCTTGGAAAGTCTACCTGAAGGGAGATAAATGGATGCCAGCTGGACTTTTGCCACTATCACTGTCGGTTTGGGGGGATATGGTGGAAGCACAGACTAGTGTGGATAGAGAAGTTAGTAGTGTGGCCTAAGCAAGTCCCTCCTGCCTTACAGCTGGAGTTGTGAGCTTGCTCACAAAGCTGCCTCCCTAGGTCAGCTTTGGCCTCAGCCTCAAGTCAAGGCAGGGCTTCTTGTCACACTACAATTGCCTGTCAGAGTCCTGTCAGACCTTTCAACTTCCTGCAACTCTCCTAACCTCATCCTGCTCCACTAAGAAGAGGTGGTAAAGCCACCACCACACTGGGGCTTGGAGGCTCCCTCTGGACCAAGAGTGGAGTCCTGCATCCTTGCTATGCTGGTGTCTAGGAAGGCTACATAAGTGCTCCCATAAGCTCTTTGAATTGTGGTGGCTTTGAAATAAACTGATTTTGAAAGTTTGCCTGAACTCGTAAGCAGCAAAGCAGGCACTGTGAAGAGCTCTGGGACTGACTTCCTTTCTGAACAATGCAAAAATGTATATTCCTAGTTCATATTTAAAAATAACTAGTAATACTGCAAATGTATACCATCATGAGAATCTGAGCTTAAGGGCCACTTAATTTTGACAATTTCAGCCCCCTTTCCCACACAAACTAATTGACTAGCCTCCTTAACTTTACATGTTTCCATGAAAACTGAAGATGCTCCTGAATCTGAAATCTCAGTAACTTTGATTCTGGATATATATTGAAAAGCATGATAACAAATCAGTTTAGAGCAGTGGTTCTCAACCTTCCTAATGCTGTGACCCACAGGTTGAGAACCGCTGGTTCAGAGTAAGTAGTATCTGAATTGCCAGGTGTGGGTGGGTGCTGAACAACCCATTTTGTGTAAATTGTGTATTACAAAGATTGGAATAATTTTCAGTTCACCAGACACTGGACTAGGCAGTTGGAATGTGTGATCTCTAGGCCATTCAGATAGAATAAATTCAGATCTTTTGAGATTCAAATTCACCCCCTTGTGGGTGGACGCTGATAATTGCTCAGTTGTACTGCAGACGCTGGATATGAGGCTTTTCACAGGCAGTCAAGAGGCTGGAAAGAATGTTTTTCATCTTCTTGGGATGAGATTTGAAAACTTTGAAGATGTGGCTGGGCTGGTGGTCGGAGAGCTTGCATAACAGATGGTTCTTTAAAACTTTTTTTTTTTAAATGCTGGGCCTTCGGGCCTCATGTGGATCTGTCCCACTAAAGAGACACCAGAGTGAAAAAGGAAAGACCATACTGATCCTTATATTCTATATGAAAAAACAGTTCACTAAAACTGGGAAGTCTGTCGCCTAGACAATCGTGGGCATGAGTTGAGACTCGTTTATAAGTGAGCGAAGGAACTGGAGAGTAGCGTGGGGAAATAGGAGTAGCTGTCTTTTCCTCTAATTCCCAGCAAGTAAGTGAACTCAGCGACGTGTTCAGCTCCTCAATGAACCCGGACCCCCGGTCTCTCCCGGGCGCCAGGGGCCCACGGTGTCGCCTCTTCACGCACCAAGGGCCCTGGAGCAAGGAAGCTGGGAGACCCTAGACCATAGACAACACTGCATTCGAGAAAAATAGTCAGCTGAATTCAAGTATCCCTTTCCTCCTTTGGTTGTTTAAATGGGTGTTTAACTCTCCTGTATCTCCCCACAAGACATACAGGCGACAGCACACACACCCCCACCCCTTTCTGTAGTCTCCCCTCAGCTCGAAGAAATCGCTGCCCAGGCTTCTCCTTCGCCGCCGCGCTGACAGAGGTCGCTTCTCACTAGCCGTAAGACTTGGCTACATTTACATCCCACCAGCCCCAGGCCAGGGTGGGGTGGGAGGGGGTTAAGGCGGGTGCAGAGGTTGGGGCAGGCTGGGGGACTGGAGCAGGAGCCTCGTCCTCATTGGCTGGCAGCTAAGTGTCCGACCTGAGTCCGGAACCCGCGTCCGCATTCTCTGTCTTCACCCTCCATCCCTGCCTTCCTCCTCCCCCGGCCCTACTTACCTCCCCTTCCCTCCTTGTCTTCCCCTTTCCTTCCCAGCACCGCCACCCTCGGGGCCGGGAAGGGCTGCTCTCGGACTCGCGGGAGGAGTGGACGAGGCAGGAGAGGGAGGTTGCACCTTCCCAACTCCACACTTGTGATAGTGAGCGAGAGGGAGACAGAAAGAGATAGGAGGAAGGGGCGGAGAGGCGAAGAGACCACAGAGGAGGAGAGAGAAAAGTGTGGCGAGAGAGAGACAGCGAGAGAGACCCCTGCCGATCCTGAGCCAGAGGGCGGGTGGAGAGGGGAGAAGGAGTCTCCAGAGCCGTCCGGGAGCTGCGGCAGCGGCACCGCCGCGGTGGCAGTAGCAGCCCCGCGGCCGCCTCCGCTGCCCGCCGGGAGCTCAGCGGTTCACCGATCCGCGCCCGGGCAATTGCGCCCTCACAACCGCGGTCGCCACCGCCCTCGCCGAGCTAAACCAGGGCTCTCGGGTGCCATTCTTCGCCTCATTTCGTAGTCCCGACCTCTTCCTCGCAGTTCGGAGGCGGCTCCGGAGCTGGGAGACAGAAGAGGGCTCAGAGGTCCTGTCCGCCCGGAGGAGGCGGAGGCACGTTCCAGCGAGCGGGTGGTGAGCGGGCTCCCCGGTCGCCCCTTTCCGCCGGAGTTGAATCTGTGCCGCCCGTGTCCAGGTGCTGGGCTTCCGGACCCACACGGACCCCTTATTCCCGCTCGCAGCCACCTTGTCATGCTGCCCAAAGTGGAGACGGAAGCCCTGGGACTGGCTCGATCGCATGGGGAACAGGGCCAGATGCCGGAAAACATGCAAGGTAAGGCGGCGCCGCGCGGCGCTCTGGCTCCCGCGGCTTCCCCACCCCCGGGCTAGCTCTGCCGGCTTCAGCCTCGCGCGGGCACTGGAGTGGCCCTGCTGGGCACTCGCGGCCCTCTGGCTCCCGCGGCTTCCCCACCCCCGGGCTAGCTCTGCCGGCTTCAGCCTCCTGCCCGGCGCGGGCACTGGAGTGGCCCTGCTGGGCACTCGCGGCCCTGGCCTTCCAGACGGCGCGGGGCGCAAGCCCCCTCCCTGGGTGCAAACATAAAAGTTTATGACTCTTGAACAATGCAGGGCAGAGGTTTTTCCAAGCGTCGTATAATTGGCCGCTTCTAATTAAGAAAAGAACGGGTTGGGGCTCTATGGCAACCTGAGCGGAGTAGTTTCAGGCTAAAGGTACTTTAGAATAACAAGATCATTCTAAGAAATGGAATGTCTCAGTAGACGCCGGACCAAGTCCTCCGTCATTGAATTGCTATGTATTGTACTTCTTGTATGGAGGGAGAAGACCCTGCCTGGGAAAGTCAACCACAGAAAGACAAGGTGACACCCGAGAGACTTGTCGCGTCGCGTTATTAGAATGGCATGTAGGCACCCCCAAAGCCCAGGCGGACACTGGCAGCTGGGTCGGATTTGAACAACTTCAAAACTGTTGGCAGAACTGAGGAGAACCAAAGTTACCCCGACTCCATTCCCCGCGCGGCTGGTGTTGAATGAGTTGGCTTGGGGGGCGGGGAGGGGGAAGCAGCGGTTAGCTTCTTGCTACTTTTTAAAACCCAGAGCTGGGAATATGAAGTCCCATTTTCCCCCCAGCTCTTGATTGCCAACAAATAAACAAATCCTGTCGGCTATATTTTCTCCACATTGCAAAATAGCAACTCTAGATCTGGCTTGTATTAAGCGCTTCAGAAGTTTATCACATTTGCCCCGGGCCGGGGAGGGAACAATGCTAGGAAAAGTCACCGGTGCTCTTCCATCCTCGCCCCTTCCAGCGTGCAGGATGTGCGGGCCGGCGGGCCTCTGATCCCGGAACGCTTCCTGCCATCCCCTTGCGCGAACTTGAAAGGACCGGGGAGGTGTTGAGAGCAGAGTTCAGGGCTGGTGCACTCTGCGGTGCGGAGTAGGCGGCGCGCCCGGGGCGCTCTGGCTGGTGGATCTGACGTTGCTCCACCGCGAGGGTGAAAAGGGTTGCGGGGGGAGGGGGGCGTGAGTTCGGCTGGTGCTGTCGATTACTCCCTTGGAGACCCCGGGGTCTCTTTAAGCCTTCAGGTAGGGCTGTAGGTCCTTTAAGCCTCCAAGTAGGGCTGTGGAAGTCTCCTAGGGTTGAGGCCCCAGAGATAGTCTTGTGGGTCTGGTTGCTGGCGGAGCTGGGCTGGCCCCAACAGGCGTTTCTTCCCAGCACCTGGAATTCCAGCGAAGTGGCGCAAAAGGAAGCAGCACCGGGAAGCCAGGCGGGGCCTTCGGCCGACAGCTCCGCTGAGGGCCTAGACTTGGGGCCGCTGCGTGAGGCCGGCGCGATTCTTGGGTCCTAAAGGAAAGTTTCTGCTTTTCATTCCGGCTCCCAGCATTTCTGAGGAACTCGGGAAAGGAAGCTAAGGGAGACGCGGGTCAAGAAGTAAGGGAGGCCAAAATTAGTGCTTACTTAAGGGCAGGGAAGAGAAATGCCATCCTAACCTTTTCTTTGAAAAGCTCGAGGGGGGCCTTCTTGGTACACTATCTAATGTCTCCAACCAGAAAAGTAGCTTTCCCTGGTGCCCGGGACGCGGAAGCCGCCTGCCGCTCTCTCTAACCCCTGCTTAGAAAGCATCGTGGCGGGAACGACTTCTAATGGGACTAGCGGCCTGCCGGTTGAGCGGAACCTCAGGGGACAGGGATTTCATTTCCATGCTAGCTCTGGTTCCAACCTGTCTTGTGTCGGTAGTCCAACTCTTAGGAGAACCCAGAAAGAGAATTGCTACTAAGTCCCGGGACCGCGCACCGCTGGACTAACTTCAGGAGAACTTGTCCGCGCCCGCTCTTTGAGGCCCTAGCTTTCCAAGGTCCTCTGTCCCCTCTTCTAGTGGCTCTCCAAATGCTTGATTTAACTGCACCAGGACACCTGGGAAATTCTGAAAGACGCCTGGGCCTCGCAGGGCAGCGTCCTTCTCCCCACTCTGGCTCTGTCTTTGGATTTTCCGAGAAAGTGCCCACCCCCATGCCTCGATCTTTGCCATGTGGGATCCCCGAGGTGGGCACAGAGTCTTCCTGTTAAGTGGTTTCCTATCTGCGCACCTTAGGTGTGAAGTTAGAGCTTACTTTGCTGGGGAAAGAGAGGTAGAAAACATCACCTTTGGTAAAGTACTCTTTTTTTCCCCGTCCCTAAAACATGCAAGACAATAATCAAAAGTTTTAGGAGAGCTATAAACGTCTAGGGGCTATAACCAAAACTGCTGAACCCTCAGCCTTTCCCAACCCCCCAGGTTCCCAAAACCCTAGTCGGGATCTCTTGGGTCTGGGATTCCGGCCGGCACCGCTGGGAGGACTAAGCCCAGCATTTATTTCCTTTTCACGGAGTGTAGACTACTGCTTTGGCTGGAGCCTCTTTTCCCGGGATTCTCCCAAACTCTGGCTAACTCACTCCGGTGTAAGCTGCAGCCTAGGCTCTGTGTCCGGAAGAGGCGCTTCAACTTAGCGAGAACGCGCTCAGCCTCTGTCCGCTAAGTGTTGCAAGTGACCCCCCGACGGTACTTCCCGAGGCCCTCTGAAGCCGAGAAAAAAAAAAAAACAACTTTATTTTAGAAAGAACAAGTCATCGGAAATGAAGCCACTGTGGTGAGAGAGTGGCCGAGTACTTTGGCGATGGGGTGGGGGCTATATCTCTTTCCTTTGTGGTAAACAAATCAGAGGAAACTTCTGCCCGCTGTGGGTTCTCCCATCCCCCCCCCAGCTCCACCCCCCGGCAAATGCCACTGATTAACTTAAAACAAACTCCCGTGCTTGTTTGTGCTCCGTGGAGCTGCCGAAGCCGGGACGAGAGCCGAGTGCGCCCAGGGGTCCCGGAGAGCGCCCGGGGGAGCGCGGGCAGTGGCCTCGGCGCAGACCTGTCCTCGCCCTCGGTGCCCGCCCACCTGCGCCCAGCGCAGATGTGGAATCCCTGGGAAGGGCCTGATCAGGTACTTCCCGGGTCTTCTGGTCACTGCCCTTCCTGTGCACAGTTTACCTTTTTAGCTGCGAAGACTCATGGCCGGGCTGCGTCCGGGGCCAGGCTGTTACCAGATCCCGGCAGTGAGCCGCGCCGCGCGCGGTCGGCAGCGGCCTGATTTCTGTTTAACTTTAACAGGGTGATCTTCAGGTGTTTATATTTTGCAGTGATGATCGGAAACATGTGAAGTTCATTACAGAGCTTCAATACTTTGCGACGAAACCAAACCCTCCTGTGTATCTTTTCCTCTCTCCCGTCCGGGCGGCGTCCTCTCTTCTTTTTCCTTATTTTTATTTTCACAGGCGATTTTCAAGCGTGAGGAGATGAAAGTGTCCGGAACAGAAAAGTACGTGAACGCGAACTGAACGTTACGATTATTCCAACAGATCTGGAGCCGCAGTCTGTTAAAGTGGGGCGGCTTTTAGGGCTTCAGTTTCTCTGTTGGAGAGTTTGCAAATTGGCGCTGCTATCCTTAAAAGCAAGGTGCACTTGGAGCAGACTGCTTCAAGAGTGAGGGAAGAATGTGTGTGTTTGTTTCTCTCCGTAAGGCAAAAGTGACATTTTGGAACCTTAATTTTTCACAGAGATTTTTAAAAAGAAATCCTAAGTTGTTACTTTATGCCATTCACGATTCCATTCTAACTTGTTACTTTGCAGAGTTATGAGACTTGGGTTCAACAGTGGTCAGTTTAAAATCTGCACCAAAGAAGTTGGAATTATTTTTAAATTTAAAAATAGGACGTGCATGCTCATTGATGCCGAAAGATGTTTTGCTTTCACTGGGTAAAAGTGTGACCTGGGCGAAAATTATTTTTATTTTGTATTTTACCTGCTGATACTTGGCCACCAATCACCAAAATGCTTTTTTGTTTCAGGATTAGAACCTACATAGGACGTTAATTGGAGATTACATATATATATACACACACATTTCTCTCGTTTCAGTGTCTCAATTTAAAATGGTAAATTACTCCTATGATGAAGATCTTGAAGAGCTTTGTCCTGTGTGTGGAGATAAAGTGTCTGGGTACCATTATGGGCTCCTCACCTGTGAGAGCTGCAAGGTTTGTTCACGTGTTACTACCTGAAAAATACAACGTTCAAAACCAAAATAAGCCCTGGGATTACTTTTTTAAAACTAAATTTGGGTTATCTTTTATAGACTCAATTAAAACTGAGAAAGTAAGAGTGAAAAGAGTTAGTCCCAGGGAGATGATTCTTAGAAATATGTGTCTGATTTAGTTCCAGAGGCAAGGATATTTCTGCTGTTTAGAAAACTTTGCCAGTCTCATGGATTTAAAATATTTTACTGTCGTAAAGTGATGTAACTGTAGAAAGACTTCCATTTCTAACAGTCCTAAATATCGATTTTGCTTGACTTATATTATATATTTAAGGCATCGCGCTGGTCTTGGGAGGGACCATGACAAAGTATTTCCCAAATACATTTTAACTTTGGAGTATTCTGTGCTATCAGTCTGAAGTTTTGTTTTTTTTATCCACAGACACACAAGTCTAAATTCCCAACTGTGTGATTCCATCCCACTTCATTCCAAAAAGGATTTTTAAAGTTTTTTTTTGAAAACAACACAATTTTAAAGATTTTGGTGAAATTTTTATCATAAAGACCCAAGAAACCAGATTTTGGTTTTTAACAGTAACTTTCTCAACACATATGACTTATTAAAATACCATGATTTTAATATGTAAAGTGTACCATATTGTTACTAATAATATCAATTATACCTTAATAATTTATCTCAGACCTGTTTTTATCATTCCCAGGAAATTCAGTATCCACCATTTTCAGTATTTTTTTAAAGTAGAAAACTCAGTACAATTACTGAAACCACTACCAGGAAAATTCCTTCATTCTTTATAACAAAGATTTTTTTTCTCTTTGTGGCCAGTAGGAAAAAGATGAATATTATAGTAAAGCTGTTCTTAGGTCATAAAGCTACACATTTTATTTTTGAGTGAAATATAAGCACGTGCTCTGTGTGCTACAGTTCAGCTCTCCGCAATTCATGCTTTTCCTTTCCATTAGTTTCACCTTTTTTTTTTTCCTTTTAACAGTTCCCATACTTGAATGTATTCCAGTGGAATTAAGAGCATTTTCCCACTTTACCCTTTAAATCCTTTTGCTTTTAACTGTCCAGTGTTGACATTTGTGAAAGATCTGAAGTGTTTTGCTGTTCAGTTTTTCACTGGCATTTTATAATAGTTTATCACTGAAATTGCATCAAACTACATCAGACTGCTTCTTGAATACTTTTGTCTGGAATGTGTAGGTAACTAGGAAAATAGATTTTTCATTTTTAATCACTGGTCAAGAGACATTGTACACTGTAAAAAAATATACATTGTATTTTTTTTCTGAAAGGTTGCATAGCCAGATCTCCCCAAGATTTGACGTAATTCTTCAGGAATACTGTTCTGATGCCAGAAAAATCTCCACTGTGGCCTGGTACTGCTTTGGAGGGTTGTTCTTGTTGAAATGTGAAATAAAACACAGAACCTCAGAAGGGCTTCAAATGGTGCAATGAAAAGATTAATTGGTGATTTCCTTAAAATGAAACAATGGAAGAGACGGGTGTTCGATTTATAATACGTCTCACTATTTTCTCTGTCTTATAGGGATTTTTTAAGCGAACAGTCCAAAATAATAAAAGGTACACATGTATAGAAAACCAGAACTGCCAAATTGACAAAACCCAGAGAAAACGTTGTCCTTACTGTCGATTTCAGAAATGTCTAAGTGTTGGAATGAAGCTAGAAGGTAAGATTCTTCTAAAGACTACTGCTTATTAAAACTCTCCAAGGACATGGACTTTACAACAACATTGTACTCATAGCGTGGTAACATTATTTTCCCAATCTTTTAACACTGTGGACAATAATGTAAGATCTTTTTTATGTTTTGTCTGCAGAATAGTCTGAGTCTCATTTAAACATCGACTAGGAAAAAAAAAATGATATAGCAGTTGTTTCTCCTTTTTACAGCTTGCGGAGCTGATGCATTTGACACAGAAAGGTCAGGTTATGTGAAAACAAGACTAAAACAACACAACTAAAAATTATTTGCAAAAACTATAAGAAATAAAATATCCTTTAAAGTAAAATATCTCTATCTACAGATAGAGATTCTCTCATAAAAGTTTGATTTCAATCTTTCCTTCATAATGATTGGTGTGCTGCTAATAATAGTTCCTATTAATTTCATGATTCTTAAGTAAGGGTGAAAGTCTTTAATTGTGAAAAACAGTTTCTCATTCTTTGTGATAGTGTAGGAATGCATGTTCCTTTTTTTTTTTTTAAGATAATGACTGAGTCTGCAAAATAAGAAAATTGAGAAGCAAGAAACATGAAAAATAATGAACTATTAAACTGGTAGCAGTGGTTTGACAAGAACAGGAGAGTTGATTCCTCAAAGGTCACACTAAACTTTGTTACAAGAGCAGAACCTACGCTACAGTGCCCAGATTGGCAGGCAGTAAAGGTTAATATGTGACTGCTGCAAATAATTTGTACTTCACGGGCTATTATAGTATGTTGCTATTTTCCAACCTCCAACCTACTGGATTTCCATGGGTTAAATATACTGCAAATAAAGCAATAACAAGAGATGCGTATCACTGATCGTGCTAGATACAAGAGTCCATTTTACGTGATCAATGAGGCACAGGCTATATTTTTACTTGGAGCTTTTCTATTCTATGGAATCATACTAAAAAAAATTCATATAAGTGAAATTGCTAACAGATTCCTTCCAAATAGAAGTAGCCACTTTGGTTATGAGGGCTTTTAAAGTCAGTATTGTTTTTTAAAAGAGAGCCAGAAAGAAAATAACCAATGGTTATTCATTTCCTTACCACCAATCATTTTAGTATGTCTTAAATGGTGAAAAGTTGCAGTATGTGGTTACTATAGTACGAGACTCAGAAGAGAAGTAAATGTTGTGATTTCATACACGATTGTTTGATTTTTTTCTTCAACAAAAGAAAAAAGGTTGCATTTTAAAATACATCATGCTTTCTTTTTGTATCTAAGTCACTTTTGGTATATAGTCAAACTCCCTTAAGAGTGATATGGTACGACTGAATATTCAATAAATTATCATCCAGATGAAAAACCCTTCATGATCTTGTACATTATTCTGGATACCTAGAATTCACAATAAATTTTTAATGTTACACTAATCCTAAGATAAAAAGCTCAAAAACTTAACCTCCAGCAATTTCAGTATGTCATAAGCTGTCAGAGGTCTATGGTTTCTGTCTAATTGCCATTGGCCTTTATGGACTTAGAGAACTACTAACTGACTTATTAGGCATGGCCCCAAATTCCATATGCCGCTGTGGCAGAAGACTCTCTTGACAGCTTCTGAAATGAATTTATTTTAATTACATCCAACTCCACTTAAGTTAAAAATACTAACTGGTAATTTTCTGATGTTGGTTCATCAAGTCAGGTGAAAAACAATTTCCCGAGAAGAGCAGGTATCCAGCCCTTTTACAATTGCAACAAACTAGCTAAAGTAGCTTTCAGGGAGGAATATGTCCAAAGAGAAAATACTGCATTTTAATGCAGAAATGATGATTTGAGCCTCCCCTCAAAAAATACCCAGAGCAGTTTGGGGTAGGAAAACTGTTGTTCTTTATAACAATGTGAAATGCCCTTATGTTTAGCAAAAATTATGAAATCTCTTCTGTCTATGAAAAGGTTAATATGTCGCTACATATCCAAAATATATATATATAAATATTTTTTTGATGAGAACATACACTTGGAAAGAATTCACAAATACAGAGGACATGGTTTTTTTGGAAACCTTTGTAGGCCATTGTAACGAAAACAACCACACATATAACTACTTCTGGTTGATTTCTATCCAACATTTCTGAAGATCTGGAGATCTAAAGAATGCTAATTTACATCTTATTTATAGCTTCTTCCTTCCCTTTTTCCCCCCAAACAGCGGTAAGGGCTGACCGAATGCGTGGAGGAAGAAATAAGTTTGGGCCCATGTACAAGAGAGACAGAGCCCTGAAGCAACAGAAAAAAGCCCTCATCCGAGCCAATGGACTTAAGCTAGAAGCCATGTCTCAGGTGATCCAAGCTATGCCCTCCGACCTGACCATCTCCTCGGCAATTCAGAACATCCATTCTGCCTCCAAAGGCCTACCTCTGAACCATGCTGCCTTGCCTCCTACAGACTATGACAGAAGTCCCTTTGTAACATCCCCTATTAGCATGACAATGCCCCCTCATGGCAGCCTGCAAGGTTACCAAACATATGGCCACTTTCCTAGCCGGGCCATCAAGTCTGAGTACCCAGACCCCTACACCAGCTCGCCTGAGTCAATAATGGGCTATTCCTATATGGATAGTTACCAGACAAGCTCTCCAGCAAGCATCCCACATCTGATCCTGGAACTTTTGAAGTGTGAGCCAGATGAGCCTCAAGTCCAGGCCAAAATCATGGCCTATTTGCAGCAAGAGCAGGCGAATCGAAGCAAGCACGAAAAGCTGAGCACGTTTGGGCTTATGTGCAAAATGGCAGATCAGACCCTTTTCTCCATTGTTGAGTGGGCCAGGAGTAGTATCTTCTTCAGAGAACTTAAGGTATGCCACCAGCTATTGCAACTTTTAATACCCCTTTCAAAAGAGACCTGTCTGTGTTCCTAGTTAATATATGCTTAGTGCTGAAAAAAAAAAGTTGTCCTTCCTTTTCTTCTTTGTGTGATTTACAGAGTAGAAGTGTATTTTATCAAGACCATTACAATTGAAACTCTATGGGGCTCTTAATTTAACATAAAATATAGAAAATTGGGAGGGTTCTTTTCCCAAACAGTAGAATGTCTTTATTCCTTTTAACTAAGATGGTTTATGGCTAAAAAAAAATTCAGTCCATGTGGAATGGCACCTAATAACTATGTTTTTCTGATTACTGAGTAAAGTGCTATATTATAATGCTGTCATCTTAATGGTTTCTCTCAAAGGAAAAATGCCAACTTTGAGTTGTGTTTAGACTCTTAAAAGTGGTACCACAGGTTAATAGTAGGTACTTACTACCTGTTTACCTGGACATTAGGTAGGTAAAGCCTTTGTTTTCAGAGCAGATTCCAATAGGATGTTTACTGTCATTGGATGGGAATGGTCACGTGGTGGCTGCTGGTCTGTTTGGCTCGGCTTTTAGTTCACATAATCTGTCTGTCATTTGATTTTAATGGATTGGTACATTGTAAACACAGTACTTGTTTGTATAGGGATCTTGCTTAACTATATAATTATCCTATTTCCCCAAACTGAAGACTAAATTAATATGGGAAAGTTATTTAGAAGTTTGGGATTTAAGAGCGGCCACCAGACCACATTTGGTAGCCAGGCTGCTCTTTCCTGTTTTAAAAGGCATCTTGGATTTGATTTCTAAGTGTATTTTATTACAGAAGCAATGTCTTCCTTTTGCTATCCTGGAGGAAAACGTGGCTGCTAAATATCTGTGACTTCCGACTAGCACAGGAGATTTTAAAATCTCTGAGAGAAATACAAAGCAGACTTTTAATTTCAAGGGTTACTGTTAAAAATGGCGTGTTTACCTAGGTGGACTAGGGACTATGGAAGCGTTACGCAAATGGGAAATAATTTTTATATCGGTCTTCATTTAATCCTGCTTGTACTTGGAAAAGAGTGATCTGAGCAGATCAAAGTAAGTTAATAAAGTGCAAACAGCATGCTGTTCCCACTGCTGACATATCCAGCTCTTTATTTTCAAGTCCTTTATTGCTACCTTAAAAGTCTGAAAGGCTCGGCACCCATAGCACAGTGGTTACAGGCCCTGGCCACATGCACCCAGGCTAGTGGGTTTGAACCCAGCCCTGGCCAGTTAAACAACAATGACAACTGCAACAAAAAAAATAGCTGGGTGTTGTGGCAGGTACCTGTAGTCCCAGCTACTTGGGAAGCTGAGGCAAGA